ATTCTTGTTTACGTATGATTTTTGGCATAAGAAGGCGTTGTAGAATATCTCACAAAATAAGTCAAGCTGGATGGTTGAATATGGAGGACAGGAGAAAACTACATTTTATCTCTTTGTGTCATAAAATAATAGTGAGTAAAAATCCACCCTATCTGCATCGTAAAATAACTTTTCCTACGACCACTTAGGAAAGTGACACATATCACACTATATAGTCCTATGGAAAGTGCCCTATATCACACGCGTATGAATAAGAATTTACTTTCCACCCGAGTGAGAATATGTTACTTTCCGCAGCAGCTGTCATAAAATGTCAAACCCATAATTTCTATTTTGATCGATGTAATGTCCATATTAATACTAAAATCGATATGATTGTTAAATTATTGAAATTGTTGTAAATTAGATTCTAGATATTTATCTTTAACAATTATTATTAAAATAATTTTAAAATAACTAAGATTATGTTTGCTTTTTATTCTGGTTAAACATATAACCGATTAGATCATTCAATTGACCAAAGGCCTGTTAGCTCAGTTGGTTAGAGCATCAACTTTGCAATTTGAGACCGTCCAACGACCGCGATCGAATCCTGGCTGTGCCAGAATTTTTTTTTAATTTTTTTTTAATTTTTTTTTTATTTGTTTAGAAATTATGAAAATTTAATAAATACGATTATTGTTGATTATTTTTTTAAATACATTTTAATTATTATAATAATCTGGTTTTACATTTTTTGATGAAATTATTTTGTGGTCGTAGGAAAAATATTGTACATCACTTGTGTGAAAAGTGATTTTCCACACTCGTGTGATAGTCGCACTCGGCTTACGCCTCGTGCGACAATATTTCCCACTCGTGTGAAAAATGTCACTTTCCACACTCGTAATGTAATATACTATATCGTTCTGACGTTCATAACTTAAATATAAGAAACAAAGGATTGTTGACTGTTCCTGCTTTCATCACGGAGTTTTTCAGGCGTTCATATAGTTACCAAATTTGCTATTTATATAACCAAGTCTTACCAGAATTAAAAAATTGTAGTATTTCAAAATTTAAATTAAAAATGAAACAAAATCTCTTAGACGCTCAGTGATAAAGTTAACAATTTTATAATTAGTTTTTTTAATTTTTATATCAACATATAGCTTGATGCTGCCCATGTTACACTTTGCAGTCCTATCATTGCAGTCCTATCATTTTTTTTATTGAAAATTTATTGCAAATTATACTTATCTAATTATAAAACAAAACCAATATACCTATTACACATTTTTAGGGTTGAGTGGAAGAATATTTTTGATTGTGTCCAATAACATAATCAAAAATAAACTTCGCCCTTTATTTTCAATCTGCTATATTTTGTCATTAATTATGTTAATTGTATTTATTGGAAATAATAAAGACGTTTTATTATTATTATTATTTTGATTTT